ACCACGCCTGGCTAATTTTTTTCACTTACTGTAGAGACGAGGTCTCTCCAAGTTGCCCAGACTGGTCTCGATCCCGTGGGCTCAGGCAATCCTCTCACCTCGGCCTCCCAAAGCGCTGGGATTACAGGTTGAGCCACCGAACCTGGCCAAATTTTCTAAGTCGCTCTGGATTCGATCGCTTCTCTTAGTCTGGGGAAAATGTGACAGCGATAGGGAGACCGCAGATTGAAGTGATGCGGACGTTACGCCTCTGAGATCCAATTGCTGTCCCTCTCAATGGACTGGAGACCGTAGTGGGGAGGTTGTGGAAACAGTCCAGAAATGTTTAATCTGGGAGGACACGACTTCCACTGAGGATGCACGCGCAGAACCACAGCTCGCTCCTGCGACCCCAAAACGGAGTCGCAGTCTTGTCCCTCACTTCCGTACGATAACCCAAGATGGCGGAACCCGTGATCGAAAACCAGATCCAAGATGGCGACTTCCGGCTTCCCCCGCAGCCACGCTTGCGGCCTTCGAGGCCACGCCCACTTCCGGCTGCTCGTCCTCAGTATGGCCGCCTCGGGGACGCTGCTCTTGAGTGAGTGCATGTAGGATCTACCGACTCGGGAGGCTGTCGGGGGCGGGCCCCGGACGCCCGAGCCGGCTGGCGGGCCTCTTCCCCCAACTCTGCCCTGTTTTCCCAGCAGGTGTCCGGAAGCTGCACTGCAGCGCGGCCGCTTGGGCAGGCGGCCAGTGGCGACTCCAGTGAGTGCTGGGGTTTGGGGGGCTGGGGGGCTAAAAGCTGGGTTGGGTCCTCACCCTTCTGTTTTCCTCTATCCAGGCAGGGGCTGGCTGCCAACCCCTCCGGCTACGGACCCCTTACAGAGCTCCCAGACTGGTCCTACGCGGGTGAGCGATGATCTGACAGTTTACTTTATGTGGGAGAGTTTTACTTGGAGAGAACGCCCCTGGAGGGGAAGGGTGGGGGTGTCAAGGTAGGGGCGTGTCTGGGTATGTATTTGTTTGTTTGTTTTTGGAGTTGGAGTCTCACTCTGTCGCCCAGACTGGAGTGCAGTGGCACGCTCATGGCCACAGCATCCTCCACCTGCAGGGCTCAGGTGATCCTTCCACCTCAGCCTTGCGGGTAGCTGGAACTACAGGTGCGCGCCACCACGTCCTGCTAATTTTTGTGTGTTTTTTTGAGTCAGAGTCTCACTTCGTCGCCCAGGCTGGAGTGCAGTGGCACGCTCACGGCCAACCCAGCGTCCACCTGCTGGGCTCCGGCGATCCTTCCGTCTCAGCTTTCCAAGTAGCTGGAACTACAGGCCTGCACCACCATGCCCGACTAATTTTTTGATTTATTGTAGAGATGAGGTCTCGCCAAGTGGCCCAGGCTTGTCTTGAACCCGTGAACTCAGGGAATCCTCTCACCTTGGCTTTCCAAAGTGCTGGGCTTATGGGTGTGAGCCACCGTGCCCGGCCTAACTTTTTATTTGGAAAACAGATTTTCGGAAAAGAAGCCTTCTTTTTTTTTTTTTGGTAAATTAAATTTCAACTAAGGAAGGTAAAAACTAGACAGGATGTTTTTGGCTTGTGAAAATAAACAGATCAGGTTGAGGTGGAAGGATCGCCTAAGCCCAGCAGATCATTTTAACTTGGGTGTCCCGGGGTGGGAGGGGGTGATTAAACTTATGTTTCTAAAAGGGGGACTTTTTTTTTTTTTTTTGAGTCAGTGTCTCACCCTGTCACCCAGGCTGGAGTGC